CCGAGAAAAGGGACAGTCCCTTTCAAAACGGGACGTATGGTCACTTTACCTATAACCCTTATACTTCTTGTTGATTTTTGTATTACTTTTATTAAAGTTACCCTTATGTATAAATAAATATAATTACGTATGTAGAAATAAAATTGAATAAAAATAAAAACAAACATGTTTTTTTTTCATCATCATCAATCATTAGGGTGAGGATAATGTCAGCCAGCATAAGTAATAAGCAGGCTAAGTTACAAGGTGCTCAGTTCAAAAATTAGTAGGTAGATAATATGTTACTTTTCAATACGTGACACGTAAAAATTAACAATAATCAAAAACACATTTACGAATTTATTCTTTATTGCACCAAATATTTGTACAAAAGGCGAGCTATCTATCTATTTACCTATAGTGAGTAGGTATCTTTTAAACTCACAATTTTCAATGCTTCATTTTTAATATATAATTATAATTAATTATAAAATTTCATAATTAGATAATATATGAGAATACGTAATTCTAATATAATGCAACTAATATTTTTTTCATTCATTCATTACAGCCCTTCACAAGTCCACTGCTGAACATAGGTCTCCCCCAAAGAATGCCACAAAGCACGGTCCTGAGCCACCTGCATCCATCGACTTCCTGCATGTCTTACCAGGTCGTCACTCCATTTCATGGGGGGACGCCCTACACTTCGCCTACCGGTACGAGGCTGCCACTCGAGAACCTCTCTTCCCCATCGGTTGTCGGTTCTTCGAGCTATATGGCCGGCCCACTGCCAATTCAGCTTACTAATCCGTTGGGCTATGTCGGTTACTCTGGTTCTACTGCGGATATCCTCATTCCTAAGTTTATCACGCAGAGAAACTCCGAGCATAGCCCTCTCCATAGCTCGCTGAGCGACCTTGAGCTTTCTCATACGGCCAGCAGTGAAGGACCACGTCTCAGTTCCGTAAGTCATCACTGGCAACACGCACTGGTTGTACAATTTCGTTTTAAGGTTTTGAGGTATGTCTGACGAGAAGATGTGTCGTAGCTTCCCGAACGCTGCCCAGCCGAGTTGACTCCGTCGATTGACCTCTCGGTCGAAGTTGGACTTACCTAGTCGGACTATTTGTCCCAGGTAAACATACTCGTCAACAACTTCGAGCTTAGTGTTCCCAACAACTACCGGCATAGGTGTGACATGGACATTAAACATGATCTTTGTTTTGTCCATGTTCATCTTAAGACCTATCCGTTGGGAAACACTATTGAGGTTATTGAGCATAGTGCTTAGGTCCTCCAGCGATTCTGCCATAAGGACTATATCGTCGGCAAATCGAAGGTGAGTGATGTACTCGCCATTGATGTTGATACCGTATCCTTTCCAGTCCAGAAGCTTGAAAACGTCTTCCAATGCAGCGGTGAAGAGTTTCGGGGATATGACGTCACCCTGTCTTACACCTCTCTGCAATTGGATAGGTTTCGTACTCTGGTTCTGTACTCGGATAGCCATCGTAGCCCTACTGTACAAGCACTTCAACACTTCGATATACCGACAGTCAACTTGGCACCGCTGAAGGGACTGCAGCACCGCCCAAATTTCGACGGAATCAAAGGTTTTCTCATAGTCCACATACGCCAGACATAGTGGCAAATTGTACTCTTCGGACTTCTGTACAATTTGCCGAAGGGTATGTATGTGGTCTATGGTGCTAAAGCCCTTTCGGAAACCGGCTTGTTCGGGAGGCTGGAAGTCGTCAAGTCTGCACACGAGACGATTCGTAATGACTCTCGAAAACAGCACGTCGACGCGGCTCAGAAGGGAAATCGGTCTGTAGTTCTCCAAGAGAGCGTTGTCACCTTTCTTGAAGAACAAGACCACCGCACTTCTGCTCCACGCCTCCGGTGTAATGCCACCATGGAGGACGGAATTAAAGAGCTTCTGAAGGACTTCAAGTACTGGTTTTCCACCCGCTTTCAGAAGCTCCGCTGTAATTCCATCCTCGCCTGGAGCCCTACCGTTTTAAGGTGCTGGAGAGCCATTCTAATCTCGCTCAGACTGACGTCCGGGATATCTTCGGAATAGTGTCGGATGAGAGCCGCTCTTGGATCGTTACTCACACTTGCGTGTGGCTCCAACGGTGATGTGTACAACTGCCCATAGAACCTCTCAATGTCACTCAAAATCTCAGATGTCCCGGAAACGATGCTGCCACATTCTGTCTTCAGCTTTGACAGTTGGCTCTTTCTGGCAGACAGATCTCTGGCAAATACTTTGGAGCCTTGGTTCCGCTCGATCGCTTCTTCAATACGAGCTGTATTGAAGTTGCGTAAGTCCCGCCGCATGCATTTGGAGATCTGTCTGTTCAGATGCCTGTATGCTGTCAAGTCTGTTGAAGAATGTAGCTTCATCTCCCGTCTAACAGCCATGAGATTAAGAGTGTGATCGGAGAGTTTTTGTGTTCTTCTGCGGCGGGTCTTAGAAGCAGAACTTAGCTCCGACCGCATGGACAGTTTCCACGAGCTTGTCATTCATATCGTCCACTTCATTGCAGTCTTCTAGGCACTGAAAACGGTTTTGTAACTCGAGCTGAAAGGTTTCGGGACTTTGGAACAAAGCACGAGGGGGACGGAGCGTTGACTTCATTAGACGAGACCTCTTCAACTTAACGTTTAGGTTCAGTGTGCTTCTAACCATTCGCGATCACGGAGACATCACTGAACAGTTGTCGTCTGGTCGTCATAATGAAGTCAATCTCATTTTTTGTCGAACCGTCGGGGCACGACCAGTCCACTTCCTGTGGGGCCCCTTCTGGAAGAAAGAGTTCATCATAAAGAGTCCCTCTTTCTCCATGAAGTCGGCCAGCTGCTGGCCCCTTGGGTTCCGTTGCCCTATTCCAAATTTCCCTACTTTCAGCTCACCGTTCTCTCTTGTGCCTAGTTTTGCATTGAAGTCTCCCATTAACACCGTATATTGGGTTTTGGAGGAATGCATGGCTCTAGAGATATCCTCATACATTTCCTCCACCTCCTCATCGGGGTGTGCCGAGGTTGGTGCGTAAACCTGTATGACCTTCAGCGAATACCGTTTGGTGATTCTGAGTATAAGGTACGCAACCCTCGTCGACACACTCCCGATCTTTACAACGTTGTTAACGAGAGACTTGTGGACGATAAATCCGACACCTTCTTGGGACAGATGGTCGCCCAAGTTGCCGGATTCGAGGATTACCGTGTCCTCCCACTCTCTTCGGACTTCGGATAATCCTATAATATGCCAGCGCAACTTGTCTATCTCTTCTTCCAGCTCCACGATCTTCTCGTCAGTCCTCAGGGTGCGTGCGTTGTACGTTGCCAGGTCGAGTCGTCTAAGGTGGCAACCGAACCTCCACCGGAGATTCTTAGCACCCCCTGCCCCGCCGTTACCATGGTCGCCACCGTAGCCAGGAATAGCGGGGCAGCCGGGAACTGGGGGCCGTTTCTTTGTTACTGTCATTCATATTTTTTTTTATTATTTGGGGGTATTTGCCATAGTTGCCACGCTTGGCGAGCGGGTTGGCAACCGCAGTTTTTTTTATTGTTAGTTTGTTGTTATCAAGAAGATGCTGCTGCCCATCTCCTGCTTGTTTCCCTTTGTCGCCTTTTACGACACCCACGGGAGGATATGGGGTAGTGGATATTCTTGACCGCCACTACACGGCACAACTAATATACCGAATAAAAAATTTAAAATACATTTATCGTTGTACGCCGTGTGTATTTCCATAAAATAGTTTATTGATGTTGAAAAAATAATAATACGTTCGTACAGTAGGTGGCGTCTTGCATATTTCTTACAAGATATATTGTAGCGAGTAGTCGGCGGACCGAATTTCTTAAGGTCGTTCACATGGAGTAGCCCCTTAACATGATAAACAAAGCAACCAAGGCAAAAAGAACAATGGCAGATAAATAGTTGACAAAAATGATCGCGTCTAGAAATAAGTTATATATAAAATGAGTTTTATTATTTTTCTATGATTTTTCAAATAAAAAGGTGTTTTAATTAAAGCCACAGAAAAAAACAAACATTTTTTGTGAATATCAAATGACTTAAATAATTTTTTGGAGTTTATGGCATGGTCTAGAACTTTAGGCCATTTAAATCATTTTACTCTATTCAAGTGTTGCCATTTATTATACTCATACTATTTTCGTATATACTTAGTAAGACTACCAACACAACACACAAAATATTTTTATATTAAATTATTATATATAATAATCACTTTTATCTTTATTACTATGATAGTATATCATAGTAATAAAAATAAAAGTGATATGGTTGAGAATAAGTCTCTTACAAAGAACTTCCTACAATAATACGTTATCTCAATCATAGTACTATGTAACAATTTCATTTAATGTTATGGCAATACTATCTAAAACAAAATGTCACTGGTTTTTTTTACTGGCTTTACGGCTCTGGGTTCTAGCCCGTCTGAGAATGTCACTATGACATAAAGGCCCTGGAGCCATGCCAGAAATATACATTTATAGTATGCAAATATATAATAGATATACAATATTCTAAAAACTCTCAATTATGTTGAGAATGTATTAAGCTAACATCAAACAACCACAGGAAGCATGACTTTTTCGATGTGACATAAGACATAATCTTAAAAGGTTCAAATCTAAATATATTTTTTTTGACGCCCTTTCAGGACATAATACTTTGACAGACGGGACTGATGCTTAACATTTTAAGATATTTTTGATGTATAGACGCTACCATTCCTTCTCAACTAATTTTATGTATGAAAGTCTGCCATTGCTCTTTAAAGGAAAACTAAATTTAAACTCTAATTTAAAAGTTGGCAATATTTCGCATTAAGATATAATAGAATATTACTCAATAATTAAATAAAAACAAAGGCAATCTGAAAAAATAATATTTCAAAACTTTCTTTTTTCAAAAGAAATTTACTAATGTTTCAGAAGGAAGTGTGTGAAACTAAATAGAAACTATGTGGTTACAGTTCACGTGCCCGCGCACGGGGCACTGCATTCCCGCGTCGTGGGTCTGCGACGGCGACGACGATTGCTTCGACAAGCAGGACGAGGCCGACTGCCCGCCCGTCTCCTGCCTGCCCAGCCAGTTCAAGTGTGCTGATCTCAAGCAGTGCGTGCAGGTAGCCCGCCGTTTAAAATACATTAATCAACTTTCAATTTGTTTTTTTTTAAATTAATTTGCAAACGTGTTTTGAAGTTTGGCGAGCTTTCGAGTCGTTGACCTTTAAGCGATTTATGTTCCTCGTGTACATGCGCGTATAGCTCATTAATATAAATAAAACGCCCGTGGTGATCGCAGGAGGCTTACAAGTGCGACGGCATCCCTGACTGCAACGATGGCAGCGACGAGGCGGGCTGTCCCGCCCTGGCCCCGCACCAGTGTGCGCCCGACAAGCAGCTGCAGTGCCGCAGCTCCGGCATCTGTATCCCGCGCACCTGGTACTGCGACGGTGAGTACACACCACAAGCGGCTGCAGTGCTACAGCTCTCTGTATCCAATTTCTATCAAGTGGACGTAGGGGAAAAAACTCTGTGCCTTCGACCAATCGTCGCGCACTAGTGCACATATTCTGTACGCGGTGTGTAGTCTAGTACTTAGTACATATAATATTAGTTGACGAGCCACTCGTGGTACAAGTTAGCTACATGCACTGTACGGCTTGCACCGGGGCAGGCACGCCGGACTGCGAGGACCTGTCGGACGAGCCGGCGGCGTGCGGCGCGGCGGCGTGCGGGCCGCAGCAGTTCCGCTGCGACAACGCGCGCTGCGTGTACAAGGCGGCCGTGTGCGACGGCCGCGACGACTGCGGCGACGGCTCCGACGAGAGCGCGCGCCACGCCTGCCGCCCGCCGCCCCTGCGGTGAGCCGCCACGACCACTCGCCCACACTTGCTGCTCTCGCACTCACCGCACTCACACTCACACTTGCACTCGCACTCACCGCACTCACATTCGCACTCGCACTCACACTCACACTCACCGCAATCCTACTTACACTCCCACTCGCCACTCTGACACGCAGCATTCGCACTTGCACACGATAAAGTCCTTGTAAAGTGTTTCCCTAACATTTTATAACAATTAATGCTAAATGATATGGAGGAAAGGAAGTCGATGGATGCAGGTGGCTTAGGATAGTGGCATTCCAGGGGAGGGCTATGTTAAGTAGTGGAGTTGTAAAGGGTTGTAATGATGGTGATGATGATGGTATAGACAATAAATGCTATAATTAATAAAGCTGACCGTATTGGTCGCTGATAATACACCAATTTATTAATTTATAACATGATAAAATTAGCACGCGTATAAAAAAATGGTGCAAACTTAAGCTAAATACAAATACAAAATAAATAATACTTTATATACCCTATACAGCTCGTACACTCCTACTCGCCACACACGCGCTTACACTCGCACTCGCACTAAGCACATACACATTTACACACATTTAAATTTACAAACATTAATACTAGCGTTCATTCATTCATCATCATACAGCCCATCAAAAGTGACTAATCCGTAACGCATTGGCCTAGCGATGAGTTACCGCCTTAAGGACCGCGGGTTCAAATCCCGCATGGAACAAGTATTCGTATGTTCTACAAATAATTGTTCGAAGTCAGGATGTTGGTCCTTGTGAAATTAATGTATGTAAATTTACAACCAACGATACAGAAAAGTAACATTCTAAAATATATATATATATAATAGTAAAAAAGTCCACAGTTGAACATAAAGCTGCCCTATAAGATCCCTATATAGATCGCTCATTTGGGAATGGGAGACGTTCACGTACGATAGTTACCACGCTTAATAAACGGTTCGGTAAACTATGTGGCGGCGCTATCGTCGCGCTACAAGCGAAACATATCGAAGCCTAAATCGCACTAACAAAGTTCCGAAGTTAAAACAGCATTATATAAAATAGCTCCGAACTCCCAATCGGAGCGTTGGCCTTTCCCCGGGCAGAACACCTTGCCCGGCGGGAGATCTCCCCTTTTCCTTCCACCGGCCACATTGGTGACCACCCGACGTGATATAAATACGCAACCAACAACTTTCGGAAACTACAACTTCATACCTTCATCATCCTCAAGTACCCCATTCATTCGCTCCCGAGCAGATATTGTCTGCAGTCTTCACATTCTGTAAGCCATCTAGCTTTACAAAGGTTCATCGGAGCACTGGAATAATAATGCTTCCTGTTTCTTCAAGCTACTCTCTGCGCTACGGTGTTCGGCACGGCTCTGAGCCTTACTCTCGCTTCTGCGTCACGGCACTCTCGCAGATTACTTGCCTTCTTCTCGACTCATCGCAAACTTACAAGGCAATTCACTGGCACTTGCAAATTCGTCAACATCTAGACTACACTATCGACTTCCGGTCTGAGCAGGGGGGTGATGTGGCGGCGCTGTCGTCGCGCCACAAGCGAAACATATCGAAGCCTAAATTGCACTAACAAAGTTCCAAAGTTAAAACAGCATATATAGAATAGCTCCGAACTATCAATAGGAGCATTGGCCGCTCCCCGGGCAGAACACCTTGCCCGGCGGGAGATCTCCCCTTTTCCTTCCACCGGCCACATTGGTGACCACCCGACGTGATATAAATACGCAACCAACAACTTTCGGAAACTACAACTTCATACCTTCATCATCCTCAAGTACCCCATTCATTCGCTCCCGAGCAGATATTGTCTGCAGTCTTCACATTCTGTAAGCCATCTAGCTTTACAAAGGTTCATCGGAGCACTGGAATAATAATGCTTCCTGTTTCTTCAAGCTACTCTCTGCGCTACGGTGTTCGGCACGGCTCTGAGCCTTACTCTCGCTTCTGCGTCACGGCACTCTCGCAGATTACTTGCCTTCTTCTCGACTCACCGCAAACTTACAAGGCAATTCACTGGCACTTGCAAATTCGTCAACATCTAGACTACACTATCGACTTCCGGTCTGAGCAGGGGGGTGATGTGGCGGCGCTGTCGTCGCGCCACAAGCGAAACATATCGAAGCCTAAATTGCACTAACAAAGTTCCAAAGTTAAAACAGCATATATAGAATAGCTCCGAACTATCAATAGGAGCATTGGCCGCTCCCCGGGCAGAACACCTTGCCCGGCGGGAGATCTCCCCTTTTCCTTCCACCCGCCACAACTACATTCTTTTTTATTATTTTGAGCTCTTCCCTTAACAGAAAGATACTGCTGTTTCAGTTTTCCACACACACAAACATACCGTTAATCCATCTACGAATGGCTACGCATGGACACTTACAACTGACAACAGTTATTGACCATAAGAAGTAAAGTGAAATACTTCACAGCCTGTAATTAAACTGGCACACACTTCAATTTCATATCTGAATACATCAATAATGTACCATCTTAGAAACACTACTACCTGTAGAAAGCCTACCAATAGTCCTATAAATAATCCCCCCTTAATTCATCGATGCATAAAATATGTTAAGATCTATGAATGCTTTATTAGCACAACTTGCTCATTATATTAAATTTCTTACAACTGAAAGAATGCAAATCCTACTCCGATGGATAACTAATTTAAACTAGCTTTAACTATCCTATTATTTTCAATATCTGATTCTAAACCATACTTCAAATTAAATACAACAAACACTTCATCACGAACACGAATCTCAAATGACTAACATAAGCTAAAATATGTTTAACAGATATGTTTTGCACTAGTATATGTGGACGTATAATATGTGTATTGGAACCATTTCAGTTGCCCGTCTGGCCAGTGGCAATGTCCAGGTGTTACCGGTCGCTGCGTCAATCTCACACAAGTGTGCGATAGTAAATTCGATTGTCCCAATGGAGCTGATGAAGGTAAAAAGACATATAACAACTCCTTCATTCATTTAGAAGTTTGGATGATAACCTTCATATCTTTATCTCAGGTGCAAGTTGTGATTTTGCTGAATGTGAACATCAATCTGGTCTTTGCTCCAACGGTTGCAAACAAACGCCCAACGGTCCACTCTGCCTGTGTCCCATCGGAGAGGAACTCGACACAGACGGTTTCACCTGCAAAGACATCGATGAATGCGATCCACCTGGAATTTGTTCTCAGTCCTGCACAAACACTAAAGGCTCGTACTTCTGCAGCTGTGTCGAAGGCTACCAGCTCAACACCGATAAACATTCCTGCAAAGCTAATAATCATTCCAGTGCATTCCTTATAATATCGAATAGGCATTCAATCTTGGTGGCCGACCTTAACGAACAGGGACTTGAGCGAGTGCCAATAAATGTGGAAAATGTCGTCGCGACTGCCTCCAACATGCACACTGGAACAATATTCTGGTCCGATATGAAACTTAAGAAAATTTCTAGGTTGGATCGTGGCAGCGAACCTCAAGTGATTATTTCCACTGGATTAGATTTAGTCGAAGGCCTAGCATACGATTGGGTGGGTGGAAACATTTATTGGTTGGACAGTAAACTAAACACTATTGAAGTTGCCAAAGAAGATGGCAGTTCAAGAACGACTTTATTGAGTGGCAACATTACACAGCCAAGAGGAATGTGCTTAGACCCGGCACCAAACGCAAGATGGTTGTTCTGGACTGATTGGGGAGAAAATCCTCGCATTGAGAGGGTCGGAATGGATGGTACTCAACGCTCTGCTATCATCACGACTAAAATATATTGGCCTAACGGTTTGACACTTGATACTGCCACACAGAGGGTGTACTTTGCAGATTCTAAATTGGACTTTATAGATTTCTGCTACTACAACGGCACAGGAAGACAGCAGGTGCTAGCTGCCAGCCATTACTTGTTACATCCGCATTCATTGACACTTTTCGAAGACACGTTGTACTGGACAGATCGTCAGTTAAACAGAGTGCTGTCTGCTCATAAATTTAAAGGCACAAATCAAACAGTCGTATCCCACTTAATCTCACAGCCTCTTTCGATTCACGTTCACCATCCATCATTGCAACCGCAGTACCCATCACCGTGCAAGGTGAACACATGTGAACATTTATGTTTGCTCAGCCCGAACCAAACAATTCAATATACTTGTATGTGTAAACCTGGATTCAAATTGCTTCCCGACGGAAAATGCATCGAAGGTAAAGAATTATTTAATAACTTGTTTTTATGTCAATAAGTCGTCATTGAAATTTGTATTTTTTATATTTTTATCTTCTTTTTTTACAGAGGAATCCGCGTACTTGATGGTTTTGAAAGGATCACAAGTCATTGACATATCCACTGACGGATCCGGAAGAGCTGGACAACTTTCGCCAGTTGTTGGAATCCAAGGTATGTTTTTTATAGTACTTTCTAATTGAAAATTTTCTTTTTCACAACATAGTCAGTCAAAGGAAATTAATGCGTACAAATTCTAATTCTAGAGTCGGAGATCTAACAAATTTCTTATTGTTTGTAGGTGGAGTACAACTGGATTATGATCGTCAAGGCCACATGCTATACTGGCTCCAGTCCATCACTGGTGATAGCAACGATGATGAAAACTGCACCGTTTACAGCATGCCTTATGGAGGTGGAAACAAAATTGAGTTCTTTGGACAGGATACAGGAATTGTCGGCGCCCCATCGGTGATTGCATTTGATTGGCTCGGAAGAAACTTGTTCATGGCTAACAGAGTAGCCAGCAACATAGAACTGATTCGTGTTGATGGCAAAGTTAAATATAGAACCATTGTTTTTGCAAACGATGGTAGCAAGACATCTATTGCGAGACCGCGTAGCATGTGCTTAGATCCCACAGAAGGGTAAGTTGCTTCCATAAAATCTGTCTTTTTATAGTAACCTTCAGCATATATTATAGATATAATTTAAAAAAACAACTACGTAACCAGTAATCACACCTCTTATAAAAATCTAACAGATTAAATTCATGAAAGGTTTAAATAAAAAAAATATCCACTAAGAATATACAAATATATTACAAAATTAAATATCTTCAACTCATTGCCATGGTCGTTAATTCGTACATTTTTTTACAGTAAAATATACTGGTCCGACGAAGGAGGATACGGAGTTCCAGCTAAAATCGGAAAAGTGAATATGGATGGAACAAATCCTGTTATTTTAGTTGACGTGATAGAGAGACCGGAAGCTGTTGCAATCGACGTTGAAAAGAAAATCGTTTACTTCAGTACGCAATTCCCTGCCAGCATTAACAGCGTGAACACTGAAGGAAACGATAGAAAGACCATTTTGACTGAAGCCAACGCCATCTCTTATCCGAAGGTTATTGCTGTATTGGATTCCCGCCTTTACGTCCTTGACCCCCGTCACGAAAAAATAATCAAAGCCGACCTTCCAAATGGCGATAACATCAAGGTTATACTTGATAATGAAAGTGATCTAAAATCACTAACAATATTCCAAAAGAGAAAAATGATGCACCATCACCCGTGCTCAATAAACAATGGCGGTTGTGAACAGATCTGTATACCAAGCGAAGGCGGGTCGCGCATTTGTTCATGCTCAATTGGCTACCGAAAAGAAAATGAAGTAAATTGTGTTCCCTACAAAACTTTCGCTGTCGTGTCTCAGTTGGACCTCATCCGTGGATACAGTCTGGAAAACAGTGCAGAGGCGATGGTTCCTGTGACTGGACAAGGTCATCATATTTTACATGTGGATGTTCATTTTGCAGATAACTTTATCTATTGGGTAGAGTTCAACCGCGGTCAATGGAATGGAATATTCCGCATTCGGCCCAATGGCACAGAATTGCAACACATCGTCAAAGACGGAATTGGTAGCAATGGCATAAGGGGCTTGGCAGTTGATTGGGTTGCGGGTAATTTATATTTCACAAACGTTTTCCCACACGAGAACTATGTCGAAATGTCTTGGCTTGATGGTTCTCACAGAAAGGTTCTCATAAAAACAACAATGGACGCGCCGAGAGAGCTTGCGGTAAATCCATTGAAGAGGCTTCTTTATTGGATTGATTACGGACAATATCCGAGAATAGGAAAAGCATATCTCGATGGCAGTAACTGGCAGACTGTGGTTAGTTCAGGAATTTCGAACCCCAGAGACTTGACTATTGATATGTTAACTCACGATGTCTATTGGGTTGATTCCAAACTTGATCAAATTCAGAAGATCTCGTACAACGGTGGTAACAGACAACTTATAAGATCTAATCTGCCAAACCCTATGGGTATAGCGATCCACACCGGAAGTGTTTACTGGGTAGACAGGAACTTACAAACGATATACAAAGCATCCAAACTACCAGGAAATATGTCAATGCCCGAAAAGTTAAGAACAAATCTGCCAAAGTTGAGAGATATCGTTATTTTTGACATAAATAATCAACCTACCGACGATAATAATCCTTGCCGAAAGCTAGGTAATGGAGGTTGCGAACAACTGTGCTTTAGTTACCCTCCAGATGCAAATAAGGGATACACACATAGATGCGACTGTGCTACTGGACAAATATCAGCAACTAACCCCAAGAAGTGCGATGTGGTAGACGAGTACTTAGTCTTCACAACAAGGACCGAAATTCGGGCAGTCAACTTGGATCCCAAATCTACCGGAATACCATTCAAACCAATTGGTAACTTGACAAACGTTGTCGGTGTTGAATTTGATTACGCCGATAATAAGCTCTTCTTTACGCAAATTAGACCTTGGGCACGTATAGCATGGATGTCATCCATTAACCCAGATGCGTCAAATATTCAAAATATTATAACCAAGAACATAAACCCAGAAGGAATTTCTTATGACTGGACTCAAAAGAAAATATATTGGACAGATAGCTCAAATAATTCAATCTACGCTATGAATCTTGATGGCACTGAGCTAGTAATGATCGCCAGAGTGGAACGTCCAAGAGCAATAGTAGTGGACCCATGTAATGGAACATTGTATTACACAGACTGGGGTCGATTTGGTACTTCAGGAAAAATCTACAGAACAACTATGGCTGGCTCTCTCAAGAAGGCCATTATAGATAAGGATTTATCGCAACCGAGTGGTTTAACAATCGACTTTGATGAATACATGCTTTATTGGACAGATGCTGTTAGAGAAAAAATTGAACGTTCGAAAATGGATGGATCGGAAAGAGAAGTGCTTATTTCTGCTACCATATATCCCTTCGCTATAACCGTCTTTAGAAATTATATCTACTGGACTGACTTGCAGCTACGAGGCGTTTACCGAGCGGAGAAACACACAGGTGCTAATATGGTAGAAATGGTTAAACGGTTGGAAGACTCTCCTAGAGACATACACATTTATAGTACAAGCAGGCAAACGTGTAAGAAAAATCCATGTTTAATCAGCAATGGTGGTTGCGCACAAAGCTGTCACCCGGCGCCTAATAATTCTGTTGAATGCAAATGTGATGACAACACTAAACTGGTAAACGAGGGTCGCATGTGTGTAGCCAAGAATATCACATGTGATCCTAACAAGTTCTTCTGTGCCAACGGAAAGTGCATCAGCCGCATGTGGTCCTGCGACGGTGACGACGATTGTGGAGACAATTCAGACGAGGACAAGAACTACTGCGCGTATCACTCCTGCTCACCGAACGAATTCCGTTGTAATAATGGCCGATGTATTTTCAAGTCATGGAAATGCGACCACGAGAACGATTGCAAAGATGGGTCAGACGAAGAAGGATGTGTTTACCCGCCTTGTGCTGACGGAGAGTTCACATGCCTCAATTCCCGTTGCATACCGATGTCTCAAGTCTGTAATGGAATTAACGATTGTAAAGACAACATTACTTCCGACGAAACGCATGAGCGTTGTCCAAGAAACACCACGTGTCCCACTAACCATCTCAAATGCGAAAAGACTAATATTTGCGTTGAACCGTACTGGCTGTGCGACGGCGATAATGACTGTGGTGATAATTCAGATGAAGACCCGCTACATTGTGCTCAGAGAACTTGTCCACAAAACAGCTTCCGTTGCCCCAACCATCGCTGCATCCCTGCCACTTGGTATTGTGATGGTGATGACGACTGCGGAGATGGGGCTGATGAACCACCAGAATATTGCCGCTCAGAGGGACGTACATGCTTCGGAGACTTGTTTACATGCGACAATGGAAATTGTATACCGAGAATTTACATTTGTGATGGTGATAACGACTGTCTCGATAACAGTGACGAAGATGATAGGCACCAATGCAACGAAAGAAAATGTGACCCAGAAACAGAATACACTTGCGAAGAGAATAAATTTTGGAACCGCGCTCAATGCATTCCGAAGAAATGGGTATGTGACGGCGATCCAGATTGTATTGATGGCACTGATGAAAATTCTACCATCCATCATTGCTCAACGCCCACACCCTGTTCTGAGGATCAGTTTCAATGCAACAACGGTAGATGTATCAACCAGGGTTGGGTATGCGATCACGATAACGATTGTGGGGACGGTTCAGATGAAGGCAAACACTGTAATACACAATACAAACAGTGCACAGATCAAGAATTTAAATGCCAGAATTTCAAATGTATTCGAAAACACTTTAGGTGCGATGGTGAAGACGATTGCGGTGATCATTCAGATGAAGTTGGATGTGTTAAAGAAAATAAAACGTGCCCTGCAGGTCAATTTAAATGTAACAACGATCAGTGCATAGACAACCGACTCGTATGTAATAAAGTCTCCGATTGTTCCGATGATTCTGACGAGCCAGCCCATTGTAACGTTGATGAGTGCGCCAAGTTAGAAATCCATCAATGCGGCCACAAGTGCATTGATACACTAACAGGATATTATTGTGACTGTAATCAAGGATATAAACTGCTCGCTGATGGTAAAGCGTGCGCTGATATAAACGAATGTTTGGAAACGCCTGGCGTTTGTTCGCAATACTGCTCGAACACACCTGGTTCTTATTATTGTAAATGTAATGAGCAATATTATGAAAGAGAAGCTGACGAGCGTACTTGCAAGAGAAAGGACAACATAACAGCATGGGTTATATTTACAAATAAATACTATGTGAGAAACATGTCTACTGATGCTTCCCAATATAACTTGGTACATCAAGACCTAATGAATGTCGTTGCTATTGATTTTGATATAAAAGAACAAAAGATGTACTTTGCTGATGTTTCGGCAAAGACAATTTACAGATCAGATTATTCTGATCCTAACCCGACAAAAGAGGTTGTCATCAGACACGATTCTCATGGTTTAGAGGGCATTGCTATCGATTGGATAGGTAGAAAAATCTATTGGTTAGACCGACATTCAAAGAACTTGGATGTAGCTGAACTAGATGGTACGAGAAGAAAGACATTGAAAACTGGAATAGCCGATCCACGTGCAATTGTGGTTCATCCTGGAACAGGATATTTGTACTATACATCATGGCATTTGCAGGCTTACATAGGCAAAATTGGTATGGATGGTTCAAACTTTACTGCCATATTGAATTGGGAAGATGATATTGCCTGGCCAAATGCTTTGACTATCGATTACTTTACTGACAGAATATATTGGGCCGATGCTCATTTAGACTATATTGGTTCTGCCGACTTAGAAGGTCGACACAGGCATATTGTACTGTCTGGTACTAAGGTTCCACATGTATTTGCTCTAAGCTTATTCGATGATGAAATTTACTGGACTGACTGGAACCTCAAAGCTTTAAGCAAAGCAAACAAACATTCAGGAGAAAATCTCAAGGTATTGAGGAACACCACCCATCGTCCATATGATATTCACGTGGTCCACCCACTAAGACAGTTAACGTATCCAAATCCTTGTGGCACAGACAATGGAGGCTGCTCTCACCTTTGTCTCATTGCCCCACCTCATGCGTCTAGTTACTTAAATATTGAAGGCTACGGCGAAGAGGGTGTGACAACATACAAATGCGCTTGTCCCAATCAGTTTTACTTAGCACGAGACATGAAAACTTGTATCGCCAACTGTACAGATGGCCAACATAGATGTAACGGTCGAGATGAGAAATGTATACCATGGTTTTGGAAATGTGACGGTGAAAAAGACTGCATGGATGGATCTGATGAACCAGATACCTGCCCAGTCCGACATTGCAGAGCTGGATCATTCCAGTGTAAGAACACTAACTGTACACCCGCAGCAACTATATGTGACGGTACGGATGATTGTGGGGATGGAAGTGATGAAGCTGAATGTGCTCACGAATGCCCTCTTCTTGAATTTAAGTGCAAGTCCAGTGGAAGATGTATTCTGGATAGTTGGAAATGTGACGGTGATACAGACTGTAAAGATAACAGCGATGAAGACCCAGCAATGTGTCACAACCGCCCTTGTAATCCGGATACAGAATTCTCCTGTAAAAATGGTCGTTGCATTCCGAAATTGTGGATGTGTGACTTTGATAACGATTGTGGTGATGATTCTGATGAACCGGCATATATGTGTCGTCAAAGGAATTGTACAACTGGATGGAGGAGATGTCCTGGACAATCAAATTACAGATGTATACCAAAATGGCTCTTCTGTGACGGCAAAGATGACTGCAGAGACGGATCTGATGAACTTCCCGAAAATTGTCCCACTTGTAATGCGGAAACAGACTTCACATGTGAGAATAAGCGGTGCATACCAAAACAATGGCTTTGTGACTTTACTGATGATTGTGGAGATGGCAGCGATGAGGCCGAATCAGTTTGCCAACACAAGTATAGAGAATGCTCAGAATCCGAGTTCAAATGTGGTAATGGCAAATGCATATCATCAAGATGGCGGTGTGATCACGAAGATGATTGTGGCGATAACACAGACGAATCCGACTGTGGTGGATTCAAATGCAAGAACGGCACGTTCCAATGTAAATCTGGTCACTGCATTGCCGCCTACTTTAGATGCGACGGAGACAGGGACTGTAGAGATATGTCAGATGAGATCGGATGTCCTCCGCGCTTCCCGGGAGGCAGATACTGTCCTGAAAGCAGGTAAGCCATCTTCTATTTTGAACTGATTGACAAATTATAAAGATTTAAAAAAAATTGATAATAATTTAATTACGAAGCGACAGTAGCCTATTGTCAAGGATTGGACTGCGAACTAAAAAGGTCGTGGGTTCGAATCCGCCATTCGAATACTGTCGTAAACCACTCCTAACACAAGTTTTTAAGCACACCAGGAGCGATTACAGGGAATATTGTAATGTAAATAACATTGCTAGCATTTTTATTAAAAATATTGAACACCAACTAATTAAAATATCTTCCTAAAAGTTTAATTACATACTTTTAAAACTGGGCTTGTTATTTTCAGTTGATGAATTTATTATTATTTGTTTAGGTTCCAATGCGCGAACAATCTGTGCGTGTCACAGTCGGACCTGTGCGACGGCACAGACGACTGCGGCGACGGCTCGGACGAGACGCCCGCCATCTGTACCAACTTCAACTGCGACACGCTGCGCCGCTTCCACTGCGACAATCACCGCTGTGTGCCGAGGTATGTGATGCGAGCTGTTAATGTTATATGCAAAAAAAAATTAAGCCCCTAATGTATATTGAAAATCTTTACAAGATTTGTGACTGTAGTCAAAAATATAATACCTACCGCAAAATAATTTATTAATAATTTTCCCAAAACTAAGTAAGCGAATAGTCGTGAAATAGAGGCACAAAAATTCATATTCCCATGTGAACAATGTAAGACTAGTTTAGCGGCCGGAGCAGCGTGAGGTATTAGATGGGTAGTATCATCGTTACTTCGGCCTTCAAACGTAGCGATTATTACACAAGCCGCCTTGTTCTTATTCTTAGTGTGTTGGAAAGCTTACGAATAGATAAGAACTATTTAACTTACATACTCTTGTTTTTTGAACTCTCCACGTTTCATGGTAACGGAGCACGGTAAAGACCATATATGTTGCAAAACACACGAAACGTTGGGGGTAAACATGAATTAAATTAAATGCAAAAATAGCCGTAAAATTAGTTTTATTCAGTCTGTGAATATGCGCGAATACAACATATTACTATATGAAACAAGTCTTTTACACAAATAATTTACCGCCAAAGTGAATCCAAAGTTACGATACGATAAAAGAAGTCACTATACTAGAATTATTTTGTGCGTGCAGTTTGGGTCATAAATCATCGGAGTATTTCGCTCTCTCTCCCACTCACGGACCTTAGGGGCGAGCATAGTGATGCGCATTATTGTTGTCGATGAGCGTTATCGATAGTGTATTAAGTTTTGTCATTATGTGGATTAGATAAAAAATAGATAAAACAACGTATTTATTAAAATAAGAATAATAATAATTTAAAATAAATTATTAATTAGGTATCTATGTATTAAAAAATTATAAGTACAAATGTTTGGAACATATTACATATGTTATATTAAAAAATAATATAACATATGTAATTGTAATTGTAATGTAATGTAATTAATTATAAATATAATAACTTATATCTAAAATTAAATTTGTTGTTATCGATAATGGCGTTGCGCCCGCGCAACATGGTCACCGCTCTAGTCGGGCTGAGGCCGAGCTATGATTTATGACCCCAACTGTACGGACAAAATAATTTTACTATAGTAAATATGAAGGTGACGATCGTTGTAACGTGGAGGGTTATGTGCAGGTACCAGGTGTGCGACGGCGTGGACAACTGCGGCGACGGCTCGGACGAGAACAACATGACGCTGTGCGCGGCGCGCGCGCGGCCGTGCGAGCCGCTGACGCAGTTCCAGTGCGCCAACCGCCGCTGCGTGCCGCGCGCCGCGCTCTGCGACCTGCGCGACCACTGCGGCGACGCGTCCGACGAGCTGGGCTGCCACACCGACCGCACCTGCGACCTGCGCGACAAAGGTACGCGCGCTCTCACGAACTCACCGCTGACGCAGTTCCAGTGCGCCAACCGCCGCTGCGTGCCGCGCGCCGCGCTCTGCGACCTGCGCGACCACTGCGGCGACGCGTCCGACGAGCTGGGCTGCCACACCGACCGCACCTGCGACCTGCGCGACAAAGGTACGCGCGCTCTCACGAACTCACCGCTGACGCAGTTCCAGTGCGCCAACCGCCGCTGCGTGCCGCGCGCCGCGCTCTGCGACCTGCGCGACCACTGCGGCGACGCGTCCGACGAGCTGGGCTGCCACACCGACCGCACCTGCGACCTGCGCGACAAAGGTACGCGCGCTCTCACGAACTCACCGCTGACGCAGTTCCAGTGCGCCAACCGCCGCTGCGTGCCGCGCGCCGCGCTCTGCGACCTGCGCGACCACTGCGGCGACGCGTCCGACGAGCTGGGCTGCCACACCGACCGCACCTGCGACCTGCGCGACAAAGGTACGCGCGCTCTCACGAACTCACCGCTGACGCAGTTCCAGTGCGCCAACCGCCGCTGCGTGCCGCGCGCCGCGCTCTGCGACCTGCGCGACCACTGCGGCGACGCGTCCGACGAGCTGGGCTGCCACACCGACCGCACCTGCGACCTGCGCGACAAAGGTACGCGCGCTCTCACGAACTCACCGCTGACGCAGTTCCAGTGCGCCAACCGCCGCTGCGTGCCGCGCGCCGCGCTCTGCGACCTGCGCGACCACTGCGGCGACGCGTCCGACGAGCTGGGCTGCCACACCGACCGCACCTGCGACCTGCGCGACAAAGGTACGCGCGCTCTCACGAACTCACCGCTGACGCAGTTCCAGTGCGCCAACCGCCGCTGCGTGCCGCGCGCCGCGCTCTGCGACCTGCGCGACCACTGCGGCGACGCGTCCGACGAGCTGGGCTGCCACACCGACCGCACCTGCGACCTGCGCGACAAAGGTACGCGCGCTCTCACGAACTCACCGCTGACGCAGTTCCAGTGCGCCAACCGCCGCTGCGTGCCGCGCGCCGCGCTCTGCGACCTGCGCGACCACTGCGGCGACGCGTCCGACGAGCTGGGCTGCCACACCGACCGCACCTGCGACCTGCGCGACAAAGGTACGCGCGCTCTCACGAACTCACCGCTGACGCAGTTCCAGTGCGCCAACCGCCGCTGCGTGCCGCGCGCCGCGCTCTGCGACCTGCGCGACCACTGCGGCGACGCGTCCGACGAGCTGGGCTGCCACACCGACCGCACCTGCGACCTGCGCGACAAAGGTACGCGCGCTCTCACGAACTCACCGCTGACGCAGTTCCAGTGCGCCAACCGCCGCTGCGTGCCGCGCGCCGCGCTCTGCGACCTGCGCGACCACTGCGGCGACGCGTCCGACGAGCTGGGCTGCCACACCGACCGCACCTGCGACCTGCGCGACAAAGGTACGCGCGCTCTCACGAACTCACCGCTGACGCAGTTCCAGTGCGCCAACCGCCGCTGCGTGCCGCGCGCCGCGCTCTGCGACCTGCGCGACCACTGCGGCGACGCGTCCGACGAGCTGGGCTGCCACACCGACCGCACCTGCGACCTGCGCGACAAAGGTACGCGCGCTCTCACGAACTCACCGCTGACGCAGTTCCAGTGCGCCAACCGCCGCTGCGTGCCGCGCGCCGCGCTCTGCGACCTGCGCGACCACTGCGGCGACGCGTCCGACGAGCTGGGCTGCCACACCGACCGCACCTGCGACCTGCGCGACAAAGGTACGCGCGCTCTCACGAACTCACCGCTGACGCAGTTCCAGTGCGCCAACCGCCGCTGCGTGCCGCGCGCCGCGCTCTGCGACCTGCGCGACCACTGCGGCGACGCGTCCGACGAGCTGGGCTGCCACACCGACCGCACCTGCGACCTGCGCGACAAAGGTACGCGCGCTCTCACGAACTCACCGCTGACGCAGTTCCAGTGCGCCAACCGCCGCTGCGTGCCGCGCGCCGCGCTCTGCGACCTGCGCGACCACTGCGGCGACGCGTCCGACGAGCTGGGCTGCCACACCGACCGCACCTGCGACCTGCGCGACAAAGGTACGCGCGCTCTCACGAACTCACCGCTGACGCAGTTCCAGTGCGCCAACCGCCGCTGCGTGCCGCGCGCCGCGCTCTGCGACCTGCGCGACCACTGCGGCGACGCGTCCGACGAGCTGGGCTGCCACACCGACCGCACCTGCGACCTGCGCGACAAAGGTACGCGCGCTCTCACGAACTCACCGCTGACGCAGTTCCAGTGCGCCAACCGCCGCTGCGTGCCGCGCGCCGCGCTCTGCGACCTGCGCGACCACTGCGGCGACGCGTCCGACGAGCTGGGCTGCCACACCGACCGCACCTGCGACCTGCGCGACAAAGGTACGCGCGCTCTCACGAACTCACCGCTGACGCAGTTCCAGTGCGCCAACCGCCGCTGCGTGCCGCGCGCCGCGCTCTGCGACCTGCGCGACCACTGCGGCGACGCGTCCGACGAGCTGGGCTGCCACACCGACCGCACCTGCGACCTGCGCGACAAAGGTACGCGCGCTCTCACGAACTCACCGCGCACGCGTCACCTGATAATAAGTTGTTGCTGTAACCCATAGATATCTTCATCTATATCTCAATTAAGAATCAAAATGCAGATTCGTTGTCACCCCTGAGGACCAAAATGGTATGTCCCATTTCCAGATACCGTTCTTTACTCACCACACGAAACACAGCAACATTGAGCTACTACCATAATATAGCTGCAGCGTGGCTCTACCACAAAAAAACATCATTATAAAATGGTAACTGACTGATTTGCAGGCGGGTGCGAACAGTTCTGCACGAACATCACCACGGCGGAAGGGACGGCGGGCGGGTACATCTGCACGTGCTTCCCGGGCTACATCATCGCGGCGGCTGACAGCAAGAAGTGCGTGGACGTGGACGAGTGCGCGGCCGGCACGCACCACTGCAGCCATCTCTGCAACAACCTCAATGGCAGCTACAGCTGCGCCTGTCGCGAGGGCTTCCAGTAAATGTCATTTTTTATACTATTTATTTAATTACTGACCAAAAATTCTACTACCCACATTAATTATCAATTAAAAAATTTATGTAGTCGTAAATTTACAGCCTATATACGTCTCTCTGGGTACAGACTTGCTCTCATTTCTGAAAGGGTTAGGCCAACGAAATGTCCGCCGAGTAGCCAAATGCGTGTTGGCGGACTTCTGCAAAAAAAACTGTATATAATAATAATTATGACGGTAATATGGAAAAGTCTTAAACCGTGTCTCTATTTTGCAGATTGGCTGATAATTTATCCGGTGTTTGCAAAGCAACAGATGATGAAGTGGTATTAATGTTTGCAAATGGACCAGTAATAAGAGCTTTCGTCCAAGACAAAAATGAGGAATTTGATGTCATCAGTTCAGAAAAGAGAATAGAGGCCATAGATTACGATCCGCAGAAAGAGATGGTCTTTTGGGCTGACAGTTACGAGAAGACTATTAAGCGATCGTATATGGTCAACGCTTTAGATGGACAAGTTAAGACTGGTTTTGCTCAGGATTTGAACATGAAAGGCAATTCCAAACCGACTGCGATAGCAGTGGATTATGTAGGTGATAATCTATACTGGACAGAGGCTGACAGAACCGGTTCAAAACCGAGAGGTCGTGTTATGGTTGCTAGAACTGATGGTAGATATAGAAGAGCACTTGTGTCTGCTGGAATTGAAAGTCCTACATCTTTAGCTCTAGATCCGCAAATGGGACGCATGTTTTGGGCGGATGCTGGATCTGCTCCCAAGATAGAGATAGCTTGGATGGACGGTTCAAAACGAAGACCGATTGTTACGGAAAACATAAGGCATCCTACTGGTTTAGCTATTGATCATGCTATGGACCACGCAATATACTGGGCGGACACTAAGCTCAATACAATAGAAATGATGCGGCACGACGGTTCCAATAGGAAAGTAATTTTGAAGGGCGATATGCTCAAGCATCCACTATCGTTGGATGTATTCGAATCGTCATTATACTGGGTGACAAGAGACACTGGTGAATTAATCAAACAAGATAAATTCGGAAGAGGAGTGCCATTCGTCATTTCTAAAGATCTAGTCAATCCTTCAGCTGTGAAAGGTCAGTGTTAATATTATAAATATATTATAATTGGTGTAGGGCGTCCCCCCACTAGATGGAGTGACGACCTGGTAAGACATGCAGGAACTCGTTGGATGGAAATGACCATGCTTTGTGGTATTCCTTGGGGAAGACCTATGTTCGGCAGTGGACTTGTGAAGGGCTGTAACGATGATGAGGATGATGATGATGGTAGTTATTAAATTCATTTAAGAAAGTCTAAAAATATTTTTGCAAGCGTGCTATTAGAAAACATATATATTATATTATGTCGTTGGTTCTCACGAGGTCTCTCAACTATCAAAATCAGGCGTTACTTACCGAATCTGAGAATAAAACGATGCTGTATTCGTTTCATTGAGTCCACGAGGAACTATTTTGAGCGTATCTCAGATTGCCAACTCGGTACTTAAGGCTTAAATTAGGGCTCGAGGAGGGCGATAGCTTTATTGTGTATTGGCAGGGTGAACTTTTTTCTGGCCGTTAATGGATATATTAGTAGTTCTAAGTAACAACACAAGTAGTACATCTCTTATTTTTCAAAATGTTTTAAAGACCTGTGTAAATACGTTAAAATTTAATTGATAATTCGTTCGCACTCGAGAGTTCTTTGTGCATCGGACCAAAGATTATTTAAAATTCGAAGGTAGCTTTCATTACTCTGGTATCAAACTATATAAAGATAGCAGAGAAAAGTCAGAAGAAACCTTAAAAATGTATCAAGGAATTTGTACATAATTTGTTGCTCCAGGCAACTTTGAGAAAAATAATTTACTTAAAAAATAAATTGATTTACCTTTTACATTAAGATAGCAGTAAAAACTTTCAATCAACCCCGCCGTAGCGGATAAAATGAGATAATCTGTTGTTGAAATACAAAAATAAATTAAAAATTTAAAAAAAAATGTTAAACTAATAAATTACTAAAAATGAAGTTATGTTTTAATACTGGTTTTGAATTTCCAAATTAATTTATATTTTGCTACTGATCAATAAATATAGATCAATAACTCGTAGACAGCCTACAAAACATAAAATACGTCGATAAGCTACATCAAGTAATAGTTAATAAAACTATAAATTATAAGCATAATTAAATGTTTCTTTTCTGTAATTAATGGGAAAATCATAAAAACACTTTTTAAATTTGAAAAATGAAAGGTAACGCTTTTATTAGAACAAAAACAAAATGTTTTTGAATAAATTTATGTATTTGTCTATGGCATTAGATGAAGGCTATTTTTTATAAGAAATAGCCTTCAGTATCGTAATATTGAAACATTAAGGTGAATCTGTAGAGATTATTACTGAATAAAAGAAATCTATTTAGAAAATCGATTGAATAGGCTATGTTATTAAACTAAACAAAACATTTGAATAATATAGGACACGAACGAATAGGCTGTATGGTCGTTGGTCATTGCCTATTTCGAACGAGACTTAACTTGATAAATTTTAGTTTCAACTTGTCATGCGCATTTGGTATTGTGGTTGTGTTTGTGGATATATTTCGAGTTTTAATTTTCGTGGATTAATTTAACTTGACCCTTGGCTTTTCTCTCGATTTACAGGACGGTAGGTTGTTGCGCCCACATAATGATAATAATATGTTACTTGGGTTTTGAGAGGAATAGAACAGACAATGTACAGCCTCAGGCTTATTTTCTATATGATATTTTATTAATAATTGCAGAAAATAATTAAACAATTAAAAAGGTTGAGTTTTATTTTACTTTTATTTTATAACAACTACAAAACTTCATTGTTTTGAATCCTTTTCAATTTATTTAAACAACTTATCACAATAACGAGTGATTTAACTACATAACCCTAAGATGTTTTTAAAAGTATAGATACGTCATACTCGCTCTAAAATGGCAATATGAAAGTCAGGTATTTGCCCGACTCGCATTCAGTCGGGCACTCTCTCGCGTCGCGGCTATACCTTCGCTAAAGCGCATAAATCTTCTAGTTATTCGTGGTAAAAATGCCTTCCTGTGTTTTTAGGTGGTGCACAAATTACACGACAACTGTTAGAGATAAGAAAAACGTCTTTTTAATATTTTGAATATAGATGTTTTGTTCATAATTGGATTTATTATTTCAACACTAACCGCTAGTGTAAACTTTGACGCTAGCTAGTGTATTCATTTTCCATACCGGTATGTCACGCGCTCGCGCCAATGAGCGCTGGGCAGCAATCAATACGCAACGAATGATGTATATTCATCTTTTTCTAACGATAGGTATGCCCTATCATTTGTCTCTTTTTGTTAGCGCAACGTGTCATAATAAATAACTATACGTAGATATAGTACTACCTGCGCCACTTTAAAATACAATAATGTTAGTGTGTAACCTGTCTATCTTTTTTAATACGTCTTTGACATAACCTACAAATAATAAAACATTAAATAAAAACAAAAGCCCAGGTCCTGCAAATATGATTTTTTTTTTGTCATAAGTGGCAAATGTTTTGATCTTCACAATAAGATATATTTGAACTCTGTTCACGTCGGGCCTAAACGTCTATAGAACCAAGTTCATCTGCTTTACAGGAGCTTTTTAGAAAAAATCGGCAGATATTTTGTTGCTGTTCAGTTGTGGAAGTATCAGTTCAAATAGTGCCAGCAACAAAATAAAATCGATCGATAAGCTGCACCAACGGTGGTAGAGCCACGCAGCAGTTTTTGCTGTTGCACGTATGGGCAGGCTCGAGCCGGGTTAGTACCACGACCTCACAGAATACCGGCGTGAAGTGGAAGCTCTGCTTCCGCGTTTCGTCTGGTGAGTGCAGGTGACCGGAGACCCAATTCCCCCCCCCCCCATCAACATGGTAGCGGAATTACGTCAAAAACTACCCCAGGAGGGTACCAGTACCCCTGGAGAATCCCTCGCTGAGCATCCACGACCATGCTATTCCACTCCTGAGCGTGGGTGCTCAGGCTACCCCGCGTATTCTGGGGGGGGAAAAATTCCGCTCAACACAATAACTGCTCGGGGCAAACTGAGCAACAAGACCAAGGCGACCCCTGCCACGCTATCCGTGAATTTCTGCAACATCAGGGGACTTCACTCGAACCTAAAAGCCGTCCACTACCATCTTGAGACGGCGAAGCCGGCCTTGCTCTTTCTGACCGAGACGCAGATGTCCTCTCCGGCTGATACTTCGTATCTCTCCTACCCGGGGTACAAATTGGAGCACTCCTTTGTGCCTCGGGCTGGAGTTTGCGTGTATGTCAGAGAGGACATCTGTTCTCGACGCCTCGGCAGTCTTGAAGGTTCGGACCTGTCCATCCTTAGGCTACGCGTAGACAGCGACGACCATCCGCGCGTCTACGGGTGCCTCTATAGGTCCCATAGCGGTAATGCCGAAACAGACCGACTCATTGACCACGTCCAATTGGCTACAGATTCCTTGCTACAACAGGTCCCATCCGCAGAGATCGTGATCCTTGGCGATTTTAACGCCCACCACGCCGAATGGCTCGGTTCACGTTTAACCGATCATGCGGGGAGATCTGTTTATGACTTTGCCTTGGCATATGGTCTGACACAACTGGTTACATCGCCTACGCGGATTCCAGATGTTGAGGATCATACACCTTCCCTGTTGGACCTTCTGCTGACCTCTCATCCGGACGGATATCAGGTTTCCGTCGATGCCCCTCTTGGCTCTTCGGACCATTGTCTGATCCGGAGTGTGGTGCCACTCACGCTCCCCTCGCGGTTGCGTTCTGCAGGTTGCCGCCGTGTTTGGCATTACAGGTCGGCGGATTGGGACGGAATGCGGTCTTTCTTTGCTTCCTACCCATGGGGGCGGGTTTGCTTCTCGCCGGATGATCCTAGCGCTGTTGCTGACTCTGTCACTGATGTGGTGCTACAGGGAATGGAACTATTTATTCCATCATCTGTGGTACCCATCGGAGGCAGATCTCAGCCTTGGTTTGGTCGCTCTTGTAAGACTGCTTTACGCAGTAAACAGGAGTGTTATCAAGCCTGGGCTGCGGCTTCGGCGACTCGGGATGTAAACACCAGCATACTTAAAAAGAAGTATAACTTCGCCTCCAGGTCCTTCAAAAGAGTTATTGCCAAGGCAAAGTCAGAGCACATAGGCAGAATTGGCGAGAAACTAGTTCGCCTTCCTTCGGGAACCCGTGCATTCTGGTCTCTCGCCAAGGCTGTCCAAGGGAATTTCTGTAAGCCATCACTACCATCTCTGCACAGGGAGGACGACTCACTGGCCCATGACGCAAAAGAGAAGGCCGACCTTTTAGGCTCCCTTTTTGCGTCCAACTCGACTGTTGATGACGGGGGGAACACACCGCCGACCATCCCGCGGTGTGAGTGCTCCATGCCGGATGTGCGGTTCTCACAGCGCTCGGTTCGCAGAGCACTCCTCTCCCTTGACATCCACAAGTCGAGTGGGCCTGACGGAATCCCCCCAATTGTGCTGAGGACGTGTGCTCCGGAGTTGGCACCGGTTCTAACGCGTCTTTTCCGGTACTCCTACTCCCTAGGCGTAGTCCCGAAATCATGGAAGACAGCTTTTGTCCACCCGATCCCTAAAAAAGGCGACCGCTCAGACCCGTCCAACTACAGGCCTATCGCCATAACCCCCTTGTTCTCCAAAATAATGGAATCCGTTATAAACTGCCACCTCATGCGGTACCTTGAGGATCACCAGCTGATTAGTGACCACCAGTACGGTTTTCGTCGGGGTCGATCAGCTGGTGATCTTCTGGTCTACTTAACTCATAGATGGGCGGAGGCAGTAGAGTCCAAGGGGGAGGCATTGGCCGTTAGTTTGGACATTGCGAAGGCCTTCGATCGGGTTTGGCACAAAGCGCTTCTTTCGAAGCTCCCTTCCTATGGGCTTCCCGAGAAATTATGCAATTGGATCACCAGCTTTCTTGCAGATCGGAGCATCAAGGTCGTTGTAGACGGTGCATGGTCCGACTACAAGCCTATTAACGCTGGTGTTCCACAAGGCTGCGTGC